GGGGGAGGGAGGCTGCAGAGCAGCACCAAGGAGGAAAGAAAAGGGGAGAGAAAAGAGGAGAGTGAAGAGGAGAGTGAGGCGGAGAGAGAGCGGGGGAGAAGAGAAGAGAGAGCGCATTTTCTTATTAGGGGAAAGAAGTTACTACACCTTTGTCACCAAATCATCTTTGACTCTCACTATAGTAGTCCTCTGAATCAAGGAAAAATACACTGAGGAATAAGCACATTATGACACCAGTCACTTCAGTGATTCACAGTACCAAGGCTTATTCCTTCTATTCGAAGCTTTAGGATGTCCCAGCCCTGCTATGGAAGAATTCTACTCTAGACTCAGTGCCCGTAGATCAGCAGCTAGGATGCCAGACACGTACACTGGAGTTGGTGGGTTTGAACCCAAACCAGGCCTGCCAAACAATGACAACTACCACAGAAAAACAGCCAGGCATTGTGGCAGGCACCTGTAGTCCCAGCTACTTGGGAGGTTGAGGCAAGAGAATCTCTTGAGCCCAAGAGTTTGAAGTTGCTATGAGCTGTGATGCCACAGTACTCTACCGATGGTGACAAAGTGACACTTTGTCTCAAAAAATAAAAATTAATTCTACTATAAGTAGAACGAATCTCCAACTTAACAACATTTTAACTTTCAATCAGCAATGATTAATCTATTATAAACATATTTCCCATTTTTGAAAAATCTTAAATTACCTGAGTTGCAAAATAGGTGTTATAAACCTACTTTAAGCTCACTTTGATTATTCTACTTTGAAAGCTAAGAGACTTCTATTAAACTGTTAACTATGTATGTCTGAAATAGCAACCTAAATTTTAAGAGTGACGCATTTGGCCTCCAGAAAAACAAATAACCACACCTCTTCCTTGGCAAAAGCAAGAATCATTTGACCTTTCTATTGAAGAAGTACTGTTCAAACACAATGAAACATGCAGGGTGTGGATGAAGAAACTTTTCATTTGCTAACCTCATATTTAATAAAGTTGGCAGAGTCCTCAAGGTGCATTTCTTCTCTTCTCATTGGGTTGTCATGAGTGGCCAGGGCCAGGCATCTCAGTGTATCACTGCCACTGCCCCACTCCCGAATAACAGACATGATCTTCTGTTTGACTCCAGGGGTCAGAGGAACTTTGGTACTTCCAACTCGAACGTGGGTGCACCTATCAATGACACCTTCAGGGGCACCCTGGAATGATACAAATTTAGATCAATTTTATTTATCACCTTACAGGGATCTTAACCCTGGTTAAGAACATCTCAATTTGCTGGACTTGCCTTCACAAACATCTTGCTCATTGACGTCCTGCTTGGTTTGTTTGGTGTACAATAAACCGACATTGATTTTCTATCACGTGAAAACTCTAGAGTGAATTCCTTTTTCATCAGCTGTTTTATGACCTATTAAGTGAATATAGAATATTACTGATGACAACTTTGTATATTTTTCAATAAACATTCACTAAGCAACTGTTATGTATGTGACAGATACTGAGGCTAGAGCAATAAACAAAGCAAGACAAGCTCCTGCCCTCATGAAACTTATCCTTTAGTTTTGTCAAGACAAAGTAGGATGCAAAAGTAAAATATAAGTACTGTGTGGAAAAGAGGATAAGGCAGGGTATGGGTGTATGAGTACATATACACTGCACTGTTATATAGTGGTCAGGAGGAGGCACCACTTAAGTAAAATCCTGAAAGAATAGAAGTGCAGCTTGGCATGTCCTGGCATGCTGAAGGAGTGCCAACATAGCTACAACAGTGTTTCTGAGAGAAAGAGGTGAGACAGGTAAAGGCACAGGGGGTAGAGGAAGGTCAGAGGCTCTTAAGTCATTGTTGGACATTTGGCTCTTGCAACAAGTGAAATGAGAAGACAATGGAGAGTGTCAAGGTCTGTCATGTCTCCTTTAATAGGCTAAAAGGAAACAAGGAATACTGTTTTGTGACAACTGATGTCAACTTGGACCAGGGCGATGGCACTGGAGAGGTCAGGCTGTAACTCCCTGCAACAATAATACGTGGCCACACCTAAGGAACAGTTTTTGGGTATTCTAAATAGTTTTAGTCAAGACTTTGGCTACTATATTAGGCTTTTAGCATCTTGACGATAAAGTCATGAGACCAAAAATCACCAAAGTACAAATAAAAAAAATGGCCAAGGACAAGCCAGTGAAAGAATCAGCCAAGGAGACCTTGAATGAAGGGAGGTGAGGGAGGGAAAACAAGTATGGGACTGTGGAAGCAAAGTGAAGGGGTGTTTCAAGGAGTGAGCAACAATACCAAAGGACAGGTCAGGTAAAACAAAGATTGAGAAATTAACCTTTAGCTTTCAACTACAAATAAAGTTACCCCTTCCTTCTCCCCCGACCCTTCTAGCCTATGGTACAAGCTAGGAATGTCAGTACAAAACTCAGTAGAAACACTGAGTGAGAATTCCTTTGTCACAAGTATGATGTTAGTGCAAGCTTTGTGTAGATAGTGCCAGCTTGAAGACGTGTCCTTCTACTTCTAGTCTGATGTGGCAGAGATGAAATTTTATCATATGCCTTTTCTGTATCTGAGATGAACTTATAAACATCTTTATCTAATTAATGAAGTTATTAATTACACTGATTTCCTCTCAGACACATACTTAATAATTTTAGAGATCTCAAAGAATCTTTGTATCCAACATAGGAAAGCCAAGAGGGGGCTGAAGTCTGCTGACCTGAGAGACTAGACATACTGAGTCATAGAGCAACTGTTAGCATGGAGCTGCCTCAGGCACAGAGGAACAGAGGTAAGAGCATGATGCTGAGTTATGCATGTAAATCACACTTAAGTGGTTTTAATCAAGTAATTATACCAAAGGGGCATGTACTAAACAATGGGGTGGGGGGGTGGGGGGACGACAAAGCCTTTCTTCTACTGGCCAAGAGTGGTCGTCCTAGCCATGTGGGCCACAAAGCTGAAACACTGGGCCTGCTCTGTCTCTCAACTAGGATAGAGCTCTGAAGTGGGGAGGGGAGAACAGAGTTTGGGAATCTCAGTGAATGAACACCTTGGCATTTTTTATCTCCTTGCCAAGCTGATGTGAAATGATGCAAAGGAGCTACGGAGCAAAGAGATGTCTTATCTGGCACACTGAGAGGATGGACTTCTCCCTGCTGCTCATCAGCTAATACACAACTTTTGAGCCCTAGGATGCAGTTTGTTTCCCTACACCGAATAGGTGGTGACAGGTCTAAAATCCAGCAAATCCATCCTGCAGTCTGCAAAGATGAGAGTTCAGGTTGCTTGAGATACTTAGCTACAACTGCTAACAGAACAATGTGGCTTTGTGTGTGTGTATGAGTTTTAGAGACAGAGTCTCACTTTGTCACCCTTGGTAGAGTGCTGTGGCATCACAGCTCAAAGCAACCTCCAACTCCCGGACTTAGGCAATTCTCTTGCTTCAGCCTTCCCAGTAGCTGGGACTATAGGTGCCCACCACAAAGCCCGGCTATTTTTTGTTGCAGTTTGGCTGGGGCTGGGTTTGAACCCAACACCCTTGGTATATGGGGCCGACGCCCTACTCACTAAGCCACCTTTTTTTTTTTTTGGAGACAGAGTCTCAAGCCGTCACCCTGAGTCAAGTGCTGTAGTGTCACAGCTCACAGCAACCTCCAACTCCTGGACTTAAGTGATTATCTTGCTTTAGCCTCCCAAGTAGCTGGGACTATAGGCACCCGCCTAAACACCGGGCTATTTTTTGGTTGTAGTTGTCACTGTTGTTTGGCAGACCCAGGCTGGATTCAACCCACCAACTCCAGTGTACGTGGCTGGTGCCCTAGCCACTTGAGCTATAGGCGCCCCACTGACACAATGTGGCTTTCCAAAGATTCACTTCCTCGCTTACTGGCAAGCAGGAAGTGAGGAGTCTAAAACTAAATTGGCAAGGGCCTATTTCTATAGGGGCAGGAACCTAAGGTCTTCACAGCTATTTGTGAATCACAGAATCTATACTTCAGCTGAGACATCCTCAATTCTGGCTTCAGTTTTTTGTTAGGATGTTATACAAAGGCAAAGTGGCATAAAGAAAAGGGTGTGTATGGTAAAGTACAGTCTGCCTCACACTGAGACTATATACAAGTCAAGGAAAGCCTTCGTGTGCTTTCCACAGATTAGACAGGATGATCCAGAAGGTCTTTTCACAGTCTGACATGTTTCTATGGTCACCAGTGCTTTAATCTGACGTCCTTAAGAAAATAGGTGCTCTTCCTCCCCCCAACTTACGCTGTACTTGTCCAGTGTGGTGCTATCTCTTGATCTGCCCTGATTATCCGTGAAGGAATGAAAGGGGTTGGTTGTGACAGGTGACAATTCAGTAAAGGGGAATCTCGTGTTTTTTTTTTTTTTTTGGCTGGGTCTGGGGTTGAACCCAATGCTCTCAGCATATGGGGCCAGCACCCTACTCCTTGAGCCACAGGCACCGCCCAGGAATCTCATCTTTATATAACAACTTCAAAAGGCTCGGTTTTTCTCTTTCCCCTCCCTCAAACCTGTTCCTTTAGTCATGCAGTAACTGTCTTCTCCCTTTTCCATTTCTCTTAGGGAACCCTAAGTTACTAAAAAGTTCTACAAAGGCCAGATGTGGTGGCTCATGCCTGTAATCCCAGCACTCTAGGAGGCCAAGGCAGGTGGATCACCTAAGCACAGGAGTTCAAGACGAACCTGAGCCAGAGCGAGACCCTGTCTCTAAAAATAGATGGGCATGGTGGCTGGTACCTGTAGTCCCAGCTACTTGGGAGGCTGAAGCAAGAGATCACTTGAGCCCAATAGTTTGAAGTGGGGGTGAGCTATGATACCATGGCACTCTACCAAGGCTGACAAAGTGAGACTCTGTCTCAAAAAAAAAAAAAAAAAAAAGGTAGAGCAGCCCCTGTGCCTCAGTGAGTAGGGCGCCAGCCCCATATACCAAGGTGGTGGGTTCAAATCTAGCCCTGGCCAAACTGCAACAACAACAAAAAAATAGCAGGGCGTTGTGGCGGGCGCCTGTAGTCCCAGCTACTTGGGAGGCAGAGGCAAGAGAATCACCTAAGCCCAAGAGCTGGAGGTTGTTGTGAGCTGTGATGCCACGGCACTCTACTGAGGGTGACAAAGACTCTGTCTTTAAAAAACAAAACAAAAAAACCCCCAAATTCTACAAAGTGGCCTCAAATACCCATCAGCAGCCTCCCAATGATAACAGGCAGGTGGGTCTAACACTAAAGAGGTTCTGCCCAGCAGAACTCAATCCCATAGGAATGCAAGCTCCAAGGTTGAGAAGTAGTTGCCATTGATGAGCTCTCTATTGGCATCTGGTCTGGAGAACCCACTGGGCTCTCATGGCTGTGCAGACCCTGGACTGAAAGTAGGGGTATTAACAGTGCTGAATGTTGGCCTGCTAGAGCTCTATGGCCCAACAATCAACAAACCTGTTTGCTATACATAAAAGCAGCAGCTGCTACTGCACAGGCTGGATATGTTTCCCAAGTAGTAGTGGCTTATTGGGGTAAGGGCCGGGCATAGACTCTGGGGAGCCTGACTTGTATCCTTACATTTCTCTTGCTATTCAGCTGCTCTGAAGGCACTACACTCCTCCTTCCAACACATCTTTGGCTGCTTCAGTTCCCATTCATGGGCTTCCACAGCTTGCTTAGCTTTATGCTGCTTCTCTCCCATTTCCCCTCATGCTCACACTCTTGGTTGACCCACAGGGTCCTGATGAGTGGTGGCATCTCATCTGTAACACACTTCTCATTCAAGCAATCACCCACAACTTTGGCCACAACAGGATAAAGGAAGTTATCATTCGAGCCCACCCACTTGAGGTTCTTAAGCTGAGCAGAGCGACAAGCAGGGTGACTAGTCTGTTGAGGGGCTCCAGGTGCTGGAGGTAGAACAGGTTGCTAGTGTCTGGCAGCAGCTGTTAGATACTGTTTTTACTCTAATCTAGCCTTACCAGACTTGTGAAGCCAGAGAAATCTAAGGATAGTGTTGTAGGGCAGATCCAATATGGTAGTCTTGAGGAGGAGGAGTGAACTGCTATTCCTCAGTAGCAACCCTGTCAGGGCTGCTGAGGTTCAGGTCCAACTCTTTTTTTTTTTTTTTTTGAGACAGAGTCTCACTATGTCACTCTTAGAGTGCCATAGCATCACAGCTCACAGCAACCTCAAGTTTTTGGGCTTAAGCAATTCTCCTCCCCTAGCCTCCCAAATAGCTGGGACCACAGGTGCCTGCCAAAACGCCCAGCTATTTTTTGGTTGTAGTTGTCGCTGTTGTCTGGCAGGCCCAAGCTGGATTCCAATCTACCAGCTCTGGTGTATGTGGCTGGCGCCCTAGCCACTGAACTACAGGCACCTAGCCCTCTTTTTTTTTTTTTTTTTTTGAGACAGTCTCAGTATGTCACCCTCCATAAAGTGCCATGGCATCACAGCAACCTAAACTATTGGGCTTAAAGTAGCTGGGAGTACAGGTACCTGCCACAATGCCTGGCTATTTTTTTGTTGCAGTTGTCGTTATTGAGCAGGCCCAGGCTGGGTTTGAACCCGACGGCCTTAGTGTATGTGGCTGGCGCCCTAAACACTGAGGTATGGGCGCTGAGCCACATCCAACTCTTGAGGCTCCTAGCCTTGTCACTAAGCTCAAAGGCTCTGACAGGCAAGGGGAAAGGGACTCAGAGGCCACTTCCCTGGTTCAGTGGACTCACAGAGAATGGCTGTGTCTTCCACTGCTGCCACTATACTGACTGACTTTTGATATCAGGATTATGTTTGCATCGTCAAAAGAATTGGTAAATGGTTCATTTTCCTTCTTTCTCTTATTATCTAAGTCTATACAAACTGTATTATTTCCTCCTTAAATGTCTGGAAGACTTGGGCCTGGAGAATTTTGTGTGGGAGGAGTTTAAGTTAACAGATCCTATTCATTAAAATTTCCTGGTGTCACTTTGGAAAGATGCTAACTTAAGGACGTGTCGATTTTTCTTAAGTTGTCAAATATACTGGTATAAAGTTGATCATAAATGGTTTCTGATCTGTATTTATTTCTTTTCTACTACTTTCTTTAGATGGGAGCCTGTATTTTGGGGGGGGGGGGAAACAGTCTTACGGTCATCCTGGGTAGAGTGCCCTGGAGTCTCCATAGCTTATAACAACCTCAAACCTGGGCTTAGGCAATCCTTTTGCCTCAGCTTCCCAAGTAGCTGGGACTATAGACATGTGCCACTATGCCCAGCTAACTTTTCTATTTTTAGTAGAGATGGGGTCTCACTCTTTCTCAGACTAGTCTCAAACACCTGAGCGCAATCAATCTACCTTCCTCAGCCTCCCAGAGTGTTGGGATTACAGGCGTGAGCCACCATACCCAGCCCCCCTAGCCTTTCCTTTCTAATATGTACAATTAAAGCTATTAATTTCCCTTGAATAATACTTTTGCGTAATATATGTTTAATATTTAGTTCAAAATCTTTTCTAATTTCCACTGTGGTTTTTCTTTTTTAACCCATGGATTATTTAAAATAACAGCTTTCAAATATTTGGGAAATTTGCTAGTCTTCCTTTTGGTAACAATTTCTAGTTTAATTCCACTGTGGTCAATAACAGTCTATGATTTTTAATCCTTTGCCCTTTGTTGAGTCTTGCTTCATGAACCAACAAAATAGTCTACACTCTGGTGAATGTATCTGAAAAACACAGGAAGTAGCATAATAGAAATACAAACATAGATAAGTTATGTATTTACTGTATTACTCGAATCTTCTGTATCATGGATTTTTCATCTTACTCAACCAATTATTGTGGTAGATGTGTTAAAATTTGCAATTCTGTGAATTTGTCTACTTTTTCTTTTATTTCTGCCAAATTTTGCTTTGTATACATACTTTACGATTCTGACCACTGGATTTAGCACAAGGTCACAGATGACTCTGACAAGACTCATTTTTTTTTTGAGACAGAGTCTTACTATGTCACACTCAGTAAAGTGCTATGGTGTCATAGCTCACAGCAACCTCAAACTCTTGGGCTTAAGCAATTCCCTTGCCTCAGTCTACCAAGTAGCTTGGACTACAGGTGCTTGGCTATTTTTTAGTTGCAGTTGTCCCTGTTGATTTTAGCTGGCCCGGGCTGGGTTTGAACCCACCAGCCTCGGTGTATGTGGACAGCACCCTTCCCACTGAGCTGGGGGTGCTGCCCAAGACTCATCTTTGATAAACTGGCAGAGGCAAGAGCTTGAGTAGAGAAGATACAAGAAAATAGGGGTGAAACAGGATAATATGTGCAAACAATCTTTCAAGAAGTTTTCCTATATAGGAAAAGAAATGTGGTGGCTGAAAGGGGAAATAAGCTCAGAAAAAAAATTTTTAAATAGAAACAGTGTAGCATAAAGATGGCTTATGCTAGGAGCACAGACAGGCCATTCACTACACCAGGGAAGAAGGCAGCCTTGTAGGTATAGACCGTGGCCATGGAAACGATCTACTGAGTGCTTTCATTTTCCTGGTCAAATAGATAGCAAGATCTCTTTACCTCAAAGTGAATATGGGAAAGGAGATATTCCAAGTTTGAAGAGATAAGGCATAATTAGTTTTCTAAGAGAAGAGCAGAGTGAATAGCCTAAGTTTACAACATGCCTGATGGGCAGCAAAATGATATACCAAGCTCAAACACTGACCGAGTTGCAGGCATTTGCACGTTCTATTTTTGAAAGACCCTTCAATTCTGTATCAAATACATTCATCTTCTCTACCAGGCAAGTTAGAGCCGTCTCTGTAGCTTCTCCAACTTTTTCATACACACCCTTTGCCTGTATTGGGTAAAAGTATAAAAAGTGGAATAAGGAAAAAGTAAACAGGTAAATTTCTTTTTAATATTTTTTTCCCCACAGAAGGACAGCCTGTCCTCTAATATATTATTATTCTATAGACCATTTTTATCCTACTCTAAAGCAGGTGACCCAGATAATTAAAAGCATACTCTAAGTACAGATGTTACATTATTGTCTTATTCTAGTAATTAGGTTTTTTAATTCCCTTAAAAAAGCCACTAATCACAGTACTGATTATTTCATACAAATATAAGAAGCCATGATCACAGTATTTATTAATTCAAAGATCTTTCAAATAGTGTTTGTAATTCCACATCACCGCTTATTATTCTAAAGCATTAACACTCTGCTTCTGACAGGTCTGGGGCTTGCCTTTGTGATAGAAACCAAATGATTTACTTTACTAATTATAAAAAGGAAGAGGGGAGAGTTTTCTATTGGTTAAGTTTTATGTTATTATCCTTCCATTAAAACAACCCTCTAAGCCATGGCTTGTTCTCAAGGATATAATGCTATCCATCTGAAGCAGGATTAATCCCCTTTGCTTTCAGATAAATATTTTCTATCCTCAGTTTTAGGTGATTTAGAACAACCTTGCTGTAATAGGCAAGATTTTTTTTTTTTTTTTTTGAGACAGAGCCTCACTATGTCCTCCTCGGTAGAGGGCCGTAAAGTCACAGCTCACAGCAACCTCAAACTCTTGGGCTTAAGCGATTCTCTTGCCTCATCTTAGCCTCCCAAGTAGCTAGGATTATAAGCGCCCACAACACCTGGCTATTTTTTTTTTCTGTTGTAGTTGTCATTATTGTTTAGCAGGCTCAGGCTAGATTTGAACGCGCCTACCTCCAAGTATGTGGCTAACATCCTAACCACTTAGCTATGGGCACAGAGCTCAGGCAAGACCATCTTAAACACTACAACTCTTATTTAAGTAACTATAATACTCAGTCACAGAGGATAACTGAAAGGTTTTCAGCTTTCCTTGGCTAGGTAGTGCTGACCTAATATAGCCTCTTGAACAGAAACGGGAAATAAAATCAGGAACCCTTAACTTTCAAAGACAAGGAACACTAGATGTTCATTCTACCTACCCCACTGCCCTTGGAGTAGGAATAGCCATTCCTTCTCATATATGAAGAACCTTACCTCATTGTAATCCAAAGCTGAGTCATTACAAAGAGCACAGATTGTTGCTAATTCTACAAGACCATCATACTGGTGACAGTTTACTGGCTTATCATCTTTATGCCTGTCAAAAGAGAAAACAAAGTGTAGTTATTTATGATTTTTCCCTCCATTTTTTAATAATGACAATGGAATTTGGGGGACAATAGATTAGACAGTGTTCAAAAGAATATGTGGATGACTATTCAAAATCTGATGTTTGAGCCAGGCATGATGGCTCACGTCTGTTATCCCAGCACTCTAGGAGGCTGAGACAGATGGATTGCGTGAGCTCAGGAATTTAAGACCAGTCTAAGCAAAAGCAAAATTCTGTCTCTAAAAATAGCTGGGTGTGTGGCAGGCATCTGTAGTTCCAGCTACTTGAGAGGCTGAAGCAAGAAGATTGCTTGAGCCCAGGAATTTGAGGTTATTGTCAGCTATGATGCCATGGCACTCTACTGAGCATAACTAAGACTCTATCTTTAAAAAAAAAAAGGCTCAAGTGCCTGTAGCTCATTGGCAAGGGCAACAATCATGTACACCAGGGCTGGTGGGTTTGAATCCAGCCCAGGCCTGCCAAACAATGATAACTACAACCAAAAATAAATAAATTTTTAAAATGCTGGGCATTGTGGTGGGCACCTGTAGTCCCAGCTACTTGGGAGGCTGAGGCAAGAGAATCACTTAAGCCCAGGAGTTTGAGGTTGCTGTGAGCCGTGACACCACAGCACCCTACCCAGGGCTTGAGACTCTGTCTCAAAAAAAAAGAAAAACACAAAAACAAGAACAAAAAAAACATCTGTTTGAGCTAGTAACAGACAATAAAATACAATGAAAGGGATAATCAGATTATAACCTTGCTCTTTTCAAGTTTTTGTTTAGGGTGGCACCTGTGGCTCAAGGAGTAGGGCACTGGGACCATATACCAGAGGTAGCAGGTTCAAACCTGGCCCTGGCCAAAAACTGGAAAAAGAAAAAAAAAAAGAAAATTTTTGTTTAAAAGAAAAAATGGACTCTCTAGTGTTAACTCAAGCCACATTCAAAACTTTTAAGATAAACTGCAAATCTATATAGTTATTAAATACTGCCACACCAGATCCTTAAGGAGTAGCAGCTACTCACACTTCTCCAATAGGTGCGTATGTTGATCCAGTTATGGTAAACTCATTAAGAGAACAAGTATCACCTTCAACTCTGTCCAGAATGAACATCTACAGGGGAAAAAGCATAAAGTTTGCATAAATGTATTTGTTAGATTAAGCAAGGGCAAATAACCTTTGTCATTTAAGAAAACATAGAAAGGGGAAATATGTTTGAATGAAAACACTGTCTCACCCTACTAAATAAAAATTATTGCCATTTTTTGACTCAAAGTTCTCTGGTAACTAAGACTTAATTGCTTTCTGCTATATAGGTTTCAGATGTCACTGCATTACTAACTCTCCTACTGCTCTTGAAGTACGAGTTAGACACATCCTCCCCCTCTGTTGTTAGTCCTTATGACTACTTCAGGGGCTTAATTCTTATCAAATGTTTAGCTACTTTTCAGTTTTTGTATTCACTGAAAGGAGATATATATATATATATATATATATATATATTTGTGAACTTCAGGGGTATATGCTTTTTCTAATCCAGCATCTTTATTGTATACTTTTTACATATAAGTCCACATACTTATACGTATGTGGACATCTTTTTGTCCTTTTTATTCTGGTAACAATATGCAGTTTATGAGGGTCCTATGGCTCTTCACTATATGTTTCATGATCTACAGGTGAAAGCTGAAATACTATAGAAATCTTGACCCAGTAAATTTGTGATGAATCCAGTCTGTACAAATGAGACTCCAGTTTTTGTCCACCTGTAGTCTGAGGGCTTCTAAACTACCGAGCACAACCCCCCTGCATTTTCCCCTTTATAGGCAGTGCCTGCTAAAGGTTCAGCTTGAACTTTCCCACCAAGGGGTCTGTAGCAAAGCAGAAGTAGAACTCATTTAAATAAAACTCATTGGCTAGGGGGGGTGGCGCAAACCTGTAATCTCAACACTCAAGGAGGCTGAGCTCACTGGTTTGAAACCAGCCTGAGCCAGAGCAAGACCATGTCTCTAAAAATAGCTGGGTGTTGTGGCAGGTAACTATAGTCCCAGCTACTTTGGAGGCTGAGGCAAGAGAATCACCTGAGCCCAAGAGTCTGAGGTTGCTGTGAGCTATGATGCCACAACACTCTACCAAGGGTTGACAAAGTGAGACTGTCTCCAAAAAAAAAAAAAAAAAAAAACTCAATTTAACTGAGGCTCAAGATCTGAAATACTATCCTTTATTGTGACTAGCTGTCATACTGCTGAAATCAATAGTGAGCAGCCAGTGCAGTAGTACCCAAGACACAGAAGACAAACTGTGTGAAACCCAATTGAATACTATGGGTCAGCAAAAGGTCAATTCCAAAGACAGGTCACTCTACAGAATGGTCAGAATTACAAATTTCAAATGAGTGGCTGAAAAAGAAGTATTAGGTAGTCCTTAGAGCTAAGCGTAAAAGCTTACATTTCAGAGTCGAATAAACATTCCCTGAGTAAAATCAGACAAGTGCTTCTCTGCTCCTTCCCACTTATTTTATTGTGGCAATAGCTCATTTTCTATGAAGCTGCATAACTACACGTATACAGTAAGGAGCTCGCAGAGCTGAGTGAACTGATGTTCCCTAGATGATATAGACAGAAGCATGCTTAGGAAAAAAAATTTCTAATTTTATAGAAGAATAAAATGACATGAGCTTTTTTTTTTTTTTTTTTTTGAGACAGAGCCCCAAGATGTCCCCCTGGGCAGAGTGCCATGGCATCACGCTCACAGCAACCTCCAACTCCTGGGCTCAAGCGAGTCTCCTGCCTCAGCCTCCCAAGCAGCTGTTGCCACAGGCACCAACCACAACGCCTGGCCATTTTTTTTGGTTGCCGCCATCATTGTTGCTTGGCGGGCCCGGGCTGGGGACTCGAACCCGCCACCTTAGGTGTATGTGGCTGGCGCCCTAGCCGCCTGAGCCACAGGCGCCGAGCCATGAGCTTTTTTCTTAAAGATGAAGGTTTTTCCCCATCTATATTTGTTTTCACAGATAATTCAGGATTCTAGTTTGGAAGAGTGATATTTACACTTGTAATTTTCACTGCAGATTAAAACTTGTAAAACAACTTATTTTAAAAAAATGAGGCTCGGCGCCTGTGGCTCAAGCGGCTAAGACACCAGCCACATACACCTAAGGTGGTGGGTTTGAATCCAGCCCGGACCTACCAAACAACAATAATGGCTGCAACCAAAAAAAAATAGCCGAGCGTTGTGGCGGGCGCCTGTAGTCCCAGCTACTTGGGAGGCAGAGGCAGGAGATTTGCTTGAGCCTAGGAGTTGGAGGTTGCTATGAGCAGTGAAGCCATGGCACTCTACCCAGGGGGATAGCTTGAGGCTCTGTCTCAAAAAAAAAAAAGAAAAAAAAGAAAAGTGATCTTGATTATACTTCTCAATGCCAAAATCTCTCTGATAAACTACTTCTCCAAGGAGGAATTTTTTTTTTTTTTTTTGAGACGGAGCCTCAAGCTATCCCCTAGGTAGAGTGCCATGGCATCACACTCACAGCAACCTCCAACTCCTGGGCTCAAGCTAGTCTCCTGCCTCCACCTCCCAAGTAGCTGGGACCACAGGCGCCCGCCACAACACCTGGCCATTTTTTGGTTGCAGCCATCACTGTCGTTTGGCAGGCCCGGGCTGGGGATTCGAACCCGCCACCTTAGGTGTATGTGGCTAGCGCCTTAGCCGCTTGAGCCACAGGCGCTGAGCCAAGGAGGAATTTTTAAAATGTAAAACAAGTCAAAAAGTCCATGTAATGTTTTAAAAACATATCTTCTCAGAAATTTGACTTATATTCAGTAAGAAAATCAGCTCATAAATAACCTCTTTCATCTCACAGTATTTGCCTGTTATACACATACAGCAAATACTTTTAAATCAAAAGCACATCAGAACTAAATCAACCTTGGAACAGAATTAAAAAGCTATAAGTGAGACATCAGATAAAATATCCAAAACATTAAGTTTGTCAAAAGGTGGAAGGGAGATGTAACTACCAATCTTTCCTATAGGAAAATTCAACTTTACCTTACGTGAAAACTTGTGTGACTCTCAAATATGTCACTTATCAGTCTTAGTTTTCTAAGCTCTTCTGTTTGTTTGTTTGTTTTTTGTAGTTTTTGGCCAGGGCTGGGTTTGAACCTGCTACCTCCGGCATATGGGGCCGGCGCCCTACTCCTTTGAGCCACAGGCGCCACCAGTTTTCTAAACTCTTAAAGCAGGATTTCCATATGATTCAAAGCCACATGAGAAACATAAATTAACTGCACTAAGCAATATCAAAGCTAATTGATAACATTATTACACACCATGCTATTTCCTTATTGATACCATGTTCATAAATGTGAAATTCTCTGGGTCTGATACAAAGCCTAAAATATTTTAAAGATGGTCAGAATTCTAACATACATTAAATCTTAAAGTGCTTGGGCATTTTATATTGTGAATAAGTCAACCACTTGGGATCTGCAGGATGAAATCTTCCTGTCAAGGGCAGTTATGCAATACTACTGCAGGAAACCTCCCAAGGAATACTGATTAGCATCCACTTTCTGTTGTGAAGTAAAACACTTACTCAAAATGCCTAGGCAGGTCTTTTCTTCACTCAAAGAAAATAAATCATGCCATTCAAAGGTGAATAAAAGAATGTAAGAACAAAAATAATTTTTATAATGAACTAGGTGACTGAAATTTTAAAAAAGATTATAATTTCATACTGCCACTGCTTACTTTCATGGACACAATGACTACTCCGAGGAATTAAAGCTTTCAAGCTAAGTTTAAATAATTTACTGGGGGAAACTAACAAACATGAAATTCTCTTTCTCTTCCTAAAAATAACCAGTTACGACAAAATTAGCTTTTAGCCAATGTGTCCAACCTTTTGGTTCTAAGAAATGAGAATTTAGTTAAATCCCTAAGACAAATCTGGAAGCTTACAACCTGAGAGCTGGAACAATCCAATTTGTTTTAAACACTTGTCCATCAAGTCTAAATCTGAGTTTGGACTTCATTAGGACTCTAGAGGGGTGGGGGTTTATATATAAAAATCATCATGAATTTAAAATTGGCAAGAGAAAGAAAAGATTTATATGGTTTAATTAAAAGAAAAACAATTTATAAAAATTTGTCTAAAACTTGGTGATAAGGCCAAGAAGGATAACTGTATTCTTTTAGTGCCATATAGAAGTACTAGACAGGGCCACTCTAGGAAAATGTAACATTGCTTGTGCTATTTATTAATAAGGGCTCATTTTATATGAAATTGATTTGTGTCCTGCAGAATAACTGTAATTTTATTCCCCAACAGGATGTTAAAGAGTTTTGTAATCTAACTTAGCAATCCTATCCTAATATTCAACACTTCCTCAAAATGTTATTACCAGTTTTATAGATTCCCTGAAAAATGACCTGATACAATCTACCCAAATACTCTGTATTTGCATGAGTCATGCGTGCCTTATGGAAAATTGTACTTTGACTTATACCAAGTCAAAACCTAGGGAAAATGCCTTACATAAAGGAACTTAATTCAGTTGTATCATTATTTTTTTTCAGTTTTTTTTTATTTAAAGAGAGGTTTAAAGGTTTCTTATTTCATCCAATGATGGTCAGACAATACATATGAGGAAGTATGAACACACTAATGAAGCAAATGAAAAGCAATTACAGTTGACCCTCTGTATCTATGGAGTCAACCAAACCTCATATAGAAAATATTCAGGGAAAAAAAGTGCATCAGTACTGACCACATACAGGCTTTGTTATTATTCCCTAAGCAATACAGTATGTAACAACTATTTACATAGCATTTATATCATGCGAGGTACTGTAAATAACCTAGAGATGATTTAAAGTGTATGGGAGAATGCAAAGACATCATATGCATCTTATATATCAGGGACTTGAGCATGTGTGGATTTTGGTATCTGAGGGAGGTCCTGGAACTAACCCCTCACAGAACTGATGAAAACACTGCTCCATTAAACATTTTATGGAAACACCAATTAGGATGTCAGGTAGGAAGCTTAACCACTAGCTTCCTCTACAAATTGTTAACATACATGTACCTTGAGACAGAGGATAAGAAAAGTAGAAAAGGAAACACAGTCCATGACACATGTACAGAAAAAACACTTCTAAGTTTGCTCACACAAATAGATCAGCCATGTAGCTATCCTGTATTTCACAACACAATTTTCAGAATTAAATGCATAATTACTCTGAAATACCAGAAATTGAGTTTGGGCTATATATACAACCGACAAAAGGATATGATATTTATTATAAATCAAAGCTTTTTTTTTTTTTTT